ATTTCGGAATTCATTTAAATATCGAAACGCAAAAAACCCCAAAAAACGAATCGAGTTTAGAAACAAATTTTTTTGTGGTTGCCCAGCCCTACTAGACACTATGCTCCCATTGATTCAGGCCAAAATCCCATTGGCTTTTTTTGCCGCCACATCACATTGTTGGCTCATGTTTAACTTGTTGTCCACGAGGACTCCAAGATCTTTTTCACATGTACTGCTCTCGAGTGAGGCGTCCCCCATTTTGTATCTTTGCATTTCATTTTTCCTGCCAAAGTGGAGTATCTTGCATTTGTCACTGTTGAACTTCATTTTGTTAGTTTTGGCCCATCTCTCTAATCTGTCAAGATCATTTTGAATTCTGCTCCTGTCCTCTGGAGTATTGGCTATCCCTCCCAATTTGGTGTCATCTGCAAACTTGATGATCATGCCTTCTTACCTTTCATCTAAGTCATTAATAAAGATGTTGAACAGGATCGGGCCCAGGATGGAACTCTGCGGCACTCCACTCCTCAAACTGTTGGAGGGTCGGATTATAATTTGAAAAAAATTATGAATGAATTCCAATGCACACAAATATCTTATTTGTAGTGCAAAAATTACACAAAAACAATACAATAATTAAAATGAAGAGCATTCTTAACAAATATAAACTTATTAGTATTTCAGTGGGAAGTGTGGGCCTGCTTTTGGCTGATGAGATAGTGTCTAGATCTAGGGAAGTAATGCTACCCCTCTATTCCGCTTTGGTTAGACCACACCTGGAATATTGTGTCCAATTCTGGGCACCACAATTGAAGAGAGATATTGACAAGCTGGAATGTGTCCAGAGGAGGGCGATGAAAATGATCAAGGGTCTGGAGAACAAGCCCTATGAGGAGCGGCTTAAGGAGCTGGGCATGTTTAGCCTGAAGAAGAGAAGGCTGAGAGGAGATATGATAGCTATGTATAAATATGTGAGAGGAAGCCACAGGGAGGAGGGAGCAAGCTTGTTTTCTGCTTCCTTGGAGACTAGGACGCTGAACAAAGGCTTCAAACTATAAGAAAGGAGATTCCTTCTGAACATGAGGAAGAATTTCCTGACTGTGAGAGCCCTTCAGCAGTGGAACTCTCTGCCCTGGAGTGTGGCGGAGGCTCCTTCTTTGGAAGCTTTTAAACAGAGGCTGGATGGCCATCTGTCAGGGGTGATTTGAATGCAATATTCCTGCTTCTTGGCAGGGGGTTGGACTGGATGGCCCATGAGGTCTCTTCCAACTCTTTGATTCTATGATTTTATGATTGTTGATGTTGTTGTTGTATGCTTTCAAGTCGTTTCACACTTAGGTTGACCCTAAGCAAGGGCTGGGTAAATGACCTTGGAGGGCCGTATTCGGCCCCCGGGTCATAGTTTGAGGACCCCTGAACTAGACAGATATTTTTTTCAGCTTAGCCTTAGAGCAAAAAACTAAACAACCTATGCCACATAAATTCTACAGTTTTAAAATGGAAAGCATAGGAATAAAGTTTAAGTGTTAATTTAGAAATGAGTTGCCATCGTTTCTCATTGTCTTAATGTAGTAGTGGGGAAAAATGCAAGCCTTAAAAACTACTCCAGGGCTACTTTTGGAGGGCCACTTTTGGAGTTGCAAGCCTTAAATCTCTCTCCAGGCTTGTGGACTTCAAGCTGTACTACACATATGTGTTGGGGAAGTACATATACACCTGCCTGCCTGTGGTCATGTGTCTTTGGGAAATTGAAACCTGGATTACATGATCAATATCAGAATGTGACCATGATGGCAAAGGTTATTAATGATGAAGAACAGACAAGCCAGGAGTGATTATAGCAGTTTGCTGTTGCCCGAGCCTACTGGGAACAGCAAGATCCCATGTTCACATCTCTTTCCCTTGCTGCATTAATTGAGTACAAACTTGAATTCAACCTTGAATTCATGCTTGCAACAATGGAAGTAAGCTGAAGACAGGTGTAAAAGCAGGAAAGGAGGAGAGGGACATTGATATTTTTAAAGCAGCTGAAAAAGTGGAGTGCGAGAGGGTGAAATGGGACTGTCCCCGACAAATTAAGACTGTTGAAGGGTATGACATGCACTTCTGCCAGCATTGAAGAGGGGCTGTAGCAGCTGCTCTGACAACTGAGTAGACTTTCTTGGGGTGTGGTGGAAGCACATTTTCACTTTCGTGTGTACTCTTGTCTGAGAAAATCACTTGCCTGAAACTTGTAATAAAGCTAGCCCTGGTAATCATCATCATGCCCCACAATTCAGTGATGTATCTCTTGTTGGCTGTTATTATATTTGGTTTTGGAAGTCATTTGGATTGTCAGGATACAAGATCCAAGTGGCTGGTGGACTGTGTGGGTAACAGGAGAACTGCTGTACATTTTTTTTTGTCGTGTCAGGAGCGACTTGAGAAACTGCAAGTCGCTTCTGGTGTGAGAGAATTAGCCGTCTGCAAGGACATTACCCAGGGGATGCCCGGATGATTTGATGTTTTTATTATCCTTGTGGGAGGCTTCTCTCATGTCCCCGTATGAGGAGCTGGAGCTGA